ATAGCAAATTAGCTCCGCTCTGGACCACAGAGATGCTGTGTTGTCTTGGAGAGACTGGATACAGGAGTGAGTCAACTGATGAGGTGAGAGATGCTGTGAAGCAGTATCCCAATACAGAATGCACATAAATGGAATGATATAAAGCTGGAGGATATGGATTCTATGTTAGAATGTGATAGACCAGATATATTTCATAATGTAGACAGTCTTGTGCATCCTGAAATAATTCAACTGATTGTAGAATAACACAATATGTGAAATTTGTTCCAATTCGCTTGTGCCATTTTGTATATTACTACTTAGAAAAACATAAAAATGAAACATAATTCAATTAATAATCAATTAAAGTGCTTGTGGCACAGAGTAATGTAGGATTGTGGGGTTAATGTGTTTTATAAAGCCTGTTTTTGCAAAGGAAACTCACAATGACACATTTCGATGCAGAAATAGACATTCTGACTCGTTTCACAAATAATGTAGTAACTCCTGTTTAGAAGCTGTTATTTGAAAGATTCTTTTTTCTGGCACTTTTTGGCATCTAGTGGCATCAAACAAAGTAAATTGCAGAGAGTTGTGCCTAATAGAACCTGAATTACAGATTTTCAAAAAAATACTTACTTTTAAAACTCCAAAAGCGCCTATGTTTTTTTTGTGTTTATAGTAATATTTGAAAAGTATATAATGTTATTTATAAAGAATTACACTCATATTTTGTAGTTCAAAGGGTTTTCTTTACAATGAAACCATTTTTTTTCATTTCCTCCATTGTATGTGTGCAGGGTAAACATTTGAATTTGAGTATGTTAAATTTAGGCGAAAATACCAAAAAACGCCCTGAGCTTAATTAAATGTGCTCACCCACCAAATTAACTCATTTCACATTATGAATTATGATACACCTTGGGTTGTTGGCTCATTAGGTCAGACTGCATTCTCACCAAAAGCGAACCACCTTGTTCAGGCGTTCTCAGGCTGATTGTTTTGGTGCGGAGCTGAATGCGATTGCCATGTCTAAATGATCAGAAGTAAAGGAGAAAATGTGTCAGCTTCTGAAACAAATGCTCCAAGCAAGCCAGGCGTGAAAACGCCTTTAGTGTCATTTGTAAAGAGAAATGAAAGAGTTATCAAGACAAACATCTGCCTCATTTGATGCCACCTATTAAAATTTGTACTTGTTTTTATATACATTTTTGCCATTTTACAAATTAGGTTTAATTTGATTGACAAAGGTGGAAAAACACTTAATTTCCCAGAACATCATTACCTGTTGAAATTTCCTTGAATTGTAAGTTTTACTTCAATTCGTTTAAGTCCAATTCAAATTCCAAATAAAAAATACAAAATTACAAAATTTGATTGTATTGAATTTCCTTGAATTGAAAGGGAGCTGAAACTAAATTTTGCCTAGCCCTGGTCTGTATTCCTATTGTTGCTGCATCACATTGCTGTTCATTTGCGTAAACATGGTCTCTTCTTTATGCAGCTGAGCGAGCAATGTTGCTTATGTTGCCTCAAATCTTTCTCAATGAAAATGAATCCAGTCACTTTGTCACTGCAAATCGCTGTCGGTGTGAACAGCCCTTTAGGTTGGCGTGTGAATACAAAATAAAAACTGTTTAAAGCCCTCAGTTAAGTCACATTTACATTACTTTTACTCAGATTTACTTCACCTGCTAGGCAAAGGGGCTTTTCAGTGTTGCCAAAGTTACTGCCAAGACCCTCACGACTCACATGCCATGGAGTGCTTTTATGTTTTCAAGTCCCAGATGAACCAATTCTTCAAATGTGCCGGTGCAGTATTGGTTAAACAGTGTTATCAAACAGGAACAGTGTTGATAGTGACAGTTTTACTAGTTTTAACATAGGCCATTGAGCTTAGAGCAGGTGCATAATTCAACCTAACTCACTACATTAAGATCCATAAGAGGCAGTGTGGTGTGTTCACCTTCCCACTTGTTCATCTACTTGGAGTAACGGCTCATTGGTGAAATCACTTCATATGAGTGTGTATGTGTGTCTGAAATTGCCTGTGTATACATTATGTGGTCAAGTATGTGTGTCAAACAATTTTGTAACATTTGTACAAAGCCTTGCTTAAGTTAACCATGTAAATAAACATATATTATCTTTTTTTTTTCTTTGTTTTAGTTTATATATGGTTTACAAAGTGCACTTATGTGCACAGTCATTTCTTTCAAGATGTTACTTGAAATGTTTTTCCTTAATATTTTTTGTTTGTTTGTTTGTTTTATACACAGTATATATTATACATATATTTTGTATGACTATAACAAGTACTTTTATTTGGAAATCTTGGGGTGTACCTGTTTTAACTCCACTAGACTGTTTTCCCTGTTAATGGCCTTTCTCTGTGACTTACAAATACTATGCAGAAATCTATTCACCTCAATGCAAAGAACAGAGATCTAACCTGCAAAGAGTGTCTGTCACAAGCTATAATAAATTCTTATTGCAGAGCATATTTCATTCGGGTTTTGTGCTTTTGTCTTGTGCTGCAGGCATTTTAGCACAGAGCAAGATTTCCGAGAAAAGGTATAGGAGAAATGTCGCTGTTTCTGCCTCTACTGAGGTACATATATATGTGTGTGTGTGTGTGTGTGTGTGTGTGTGTGTGTGTGTGTGCGCGCGTGCTTGTGTGCTACAGTTTTGTTTATTTCGGGGGTCAAAGTTGTAACCGGAAGTGAACTAAACCTGACATCTTTTTGGGCCCATTATAAGAATGGGATACAGTAAAAATATTTTTTTCCCCAAATGTAAAGATGCAGAAAGTGTTCTGTTAGTGTGTGGGTTAAGTTATAGTACTTATAACAAACTCTATATAAAAACAACTACGTGAATGGAATGTCCCCATTTAGATAAGTAAATAAATGTGTGCGTGAGCGTGCGTGCGTGTGCGTGCGCGTGCATGTTTACAGCATTATAGAGGGACCTGAAAAACCTGTATACAAGTCGATGTGTTAAATGAAACTGTTTAACAGGTTTAAACGTGTTTAGAAATGGCCTGCATAGTTAGATATTTGTTGTACTTGCTTCCAATATTTCATTTATATATCCTTTATATAAAATCACGTCTATATTTACTTCCAGGGCGTGTTATATTATTTAGCTTTGCGTGTCAGTGTAACCTATAGCCTATGTAGAGATATTAAAACAGATTGTCAGATGCTGCCTCCCATGAACAACATGACACCTTTGTCACGTAAGTACAAACGTGCTCACAACGACTACAATCTATTTTTGACTCTTGAAACACGAGATTTTTTTTTCTTTTAAATGCGCATTTTTATCAGGCTCCTTAAAAGGCAAAGAAAAGGTTATTAATCAGTTACTGAATGCCTAATTTTCAAAAATGTCCAACGATATTTTCATATGAGCCTGATTTAAAAAAAAGCTAATTTGAAAGAAAATGCGTGTGTATTACCTGCATGTATGAATTCCAGTATCAAAAAGACTACTGCTGTTTTCACAGTATATATATATATATATATATATATATATATATATCAATAATCAATAGATTCATGTATTAATTTAATTTCATTTACATGTCAACAAAAGGTAAGGTTTGCACACCTGTGAAGATGTGAGTTAATTGTAGGCCAAAACTGAGCTTTTCTTAACCAAGTCACTTTCCCATAGTATTACATTTGATTTTTTAAATTTTAATCTACTTTATTTTCATTTTTTTTTTTATTTCCCGTCATTTCATTAGTAGCCTATGTCAGCAGATGGCAGCATTTACAGTGATTTGTGAGCGCTGGATAAATCTCGCACAGCCGCTCAAATAATGTTTTAAAACATTTGCTACTATGAATAAACCCAATAGGTGGAGTCCAGGGAATAGTCTGTTAAAGTTCATGCTCTGCATTCAGACAGCTTTATTTGTTTGGTTTGAAACAGTTTATCTCCAAACGCCTATTTTTGAGACGCCTGTTCATCAACTAGGCAGACAAGTTAATAGACTAAAAATAAAAGTAACAAACCAATTACACAATCAACTTCTCAGATAGTTTGCAATGAAGCAGAGGCTGTAACAGTAAGTGTGTCATGCAGTGTGAGTGAATGACTCGTGTTCATCAGCGGAATATTACCGCTCCTCGCCGGACTCGAGTTAAGCGCTGCGTTTTTAGACGCGTCAAGTGTTATAACGACAGCCGTCCCAGCAACAGCAGCAGCGCCGCGATTCACATGCACTGACCCAGACATTTAAACGCGTTCTTCTGGATAGTTTGTGTCTATTGATTATTCACATTTACCTCAAGACGGTTCTAAGAAGTTCTGCCTGGAGCCGAAGGGAAAGTCAACATGCTGGGGAGGAAGAAGAAACCAGATACAGTTCAGACTGAACCCAAAGCGCACGAGTCAAAAACCCACGATCCGCTTCGGAGGCTTGGTGAGATCATAATAGGCTACATATAAGGACAAAAATATCTAATATACCCTGAATGTTACTTTAAGTATGCATGCTTTCTTTACTTTCACAGAAAGTAAACTTAAATCTCAGCCACTAACTTGTTTTCAACCCTAGAAGTTAATTTTGTGAAAGGAGTAAAATGAGCAGATTCAGTCATTCCACGCTAAATCAATAAAGACCTTTACTCTTTGACAAATGCTCATTTTGCGTGACATATGGATGTTTTGAGATATCTAGTATAATAACCAGTGCTGGGAAGGTTACTTTGGAAATGTAATAGGTTACAGATTGCAAGTTACCCTACTTAAAATGTAATAAGTAGTGTAACTTTTTAATTACTTTATTAAAGTAATGTAACTGATTACTTTTTTATTACTTTTCTACATTTCTAATGTTTTCAACTACGTCAATTCAATTCACTTTCACTAAATTTGTTTATGTCTGGCTGCGCAAATCATTTTACTCCAGGCAGCTTTCTGGATGAGGGACAATTCAAGGCAGGTTTTGTTAAAAAGTTAAAACTCAAGAATGGATCAGTACCCATTGTTCATGCTCCAGCTGCAGATTTCAGACTTACTTTAAAAACATTCTGAGCTTAAATACATATTTAAAATCATAACAAGAAATAGTTTAATAGCTATGATACTGTTTTTGAAATCAAATCTTTGCATATCTATGACAGGAAACACTGGAATCTAACAATGCCTTAGAAAAAACAGTTAATCTTAAAAAAAATAAAGCATATACATAAACCCTATCGGATAAGCATGTTATAAACTTCTGAAACATTGGTGTTTCATATTTTAGAGCAGTCACTGCAATTTATGAAATAATTCAATTAAATCTGTATGTGGGAGTGTGTGTGGAAAAAAATCAGATGTAACCCCCTTTGTAATCCTTAACATTTTCATAAGTAACTGTAATTTAATTTAAAAAAAATTCTTAGTAACTGTAACTGTAACTGATTACAATTACTTTTATTTTGTAATTAAATTACGTAATTCCGTTACATGTAACTAGTTACTCCCCAACACTGATAATAACCCCATGAGTTTCTCTGTGTTTTATTAACCCTTTATTGTTTAGGTGTCATTTCTGACCTGCTTTTGGTAAAGAATACGCTAATGCACATTATTTTTGCATTTGGACCTGGCTTTGTAATGTTTATACAATTATAATTAGATCTGGTTTGATTGGTTGGTCATTCCAAGAGTGCTTGACAGCAGTGTGACATTTCACTGTTTGTATTAGGCTACTTTTGATATGTGAGCTGACACAAAGCAGGGAGAAGTTGCTGTTGTTGTTGTTTTGGAAGTGATTTAGATGCAGAATTGTGTGATTTATTTTTTTTTGCCTCCAGTGACCCTTTGATCAAGATAAAGTTGTCAATTTAAAATGTATTCTTTCAAGTTTAGAAAAATGTGTCAAGAGACCCCTGCGTTCCTTTTCAGCAACCTTTCCTAGATGTTTTGGGCACAAGAACAAGTTCTGTGTGAACAGCCCCCTAAGACTGGATGCTGTGACAATGTATGTAATGCAGTATTATGCTTTTTTGGTGTGTCTGGGATGGCCGGACATATTATTTTTTCGTGATTAGCATAACCCGCACATAACCACACTGCCACACTCATAACCACTGACTGTTCTCGCACAATTATTATTTTCCCACTCATGTTTACCTCTCATCTTCGCCCTTCAGCAGCATGACTCCAGCTGAGATCACCACCACCTACACCTATGACCCTTGCTTGTGCTGTCCACGTAAAAACCATTCTGCATGTGATATCTTATTATGCAGCAAGCTGATATCTGAAACTAGCACATTTCATGTTAATATCAGCCTAGTTCTCAAACCAAACCAAAATAACTGTGCTAGTTTATGCTTCAGGCTTTTGAAAGGAACCGCATGTAAGAAGGTGGAGAGAAACAAATATGTGAAAATATATAAAATGGATTATTATGTCATTATGCCTGTATTGTAGCAAATTACGCAACAAATAATTTTACAGCATTCTTCAAGAACAATGGCTGATTTCCAAGAAAAGTAACTAGGGCATATTTATATCGCTTTTATTGACCTCGGCAGATCTTTCTTTAGATGTTTAGCTATCCCACCTCTGCCTGTTTTAGCTGGGTTTCTTCTGCATTTGATCATGAATGAGTTGAATGTTGTCGCTATATTGAGTACAAGATCCTCTGAGGACCCGTCTGCATTCCCTGGCTTCTTCCCATAACTATAGCACTGTGACTGCAGTTGCATGAGAAAGAGTTTAGCTTAAACTATTGCAAGTGGGCGATAACCCTGCTTCGGTTTAATTAACTCTAAGTAATGTTGTGCTCATCTGTATTATCTTCCATGGCAACCTATGCTGAATTTTTATTGAGTCTTTTAATAAGACTTGTTCCATGGCTACCGCAGTGCTGCTGGTTTATCTCTGCCATGGCTGCTGGCGTCAGTAGATATGCTATAAGTGTATTGCTCACATTTATTGCTCTTGTAAAATGATGTTGAGTGGCTTGTATGAAGAGGCTGTGCAAGTTGGTGCTCTTCAGTGGTGTGATTTAATGTTACTATGTCAGTACTTCAAAATAAAGCCCTCCAGTGGGAATAATCAAGAGGTTTTTGTGCGAGAACAGCGTTATTCAGTGGTTTGAGGTATGAGATTTGCTTATTATTAATCCAATGTGATGGGTTTATTTAAGTTACGTTTCTCCCAGCTTGCTCTAGTTGGTTGACTGTTCTTGTGCTTCTGCTAAATGATAAAGTAATGAGAGAGAATAAGTCATCCATGATGCAATCATGCCCACATTTATTCTAAATATAGATATGCTCACTATGGACAAGATGCACCTCAGGTGAACTGTAGGTAACTCTAGTAGTCTAAATGTAAAGTATGAGTCATCTGTGGATCATATAATACACGTTTTAAAAACCATCTTATTTTTTCACTGAAGTCTGTGCTACTGTTCAAAACTTTTTGTTCAGGCTTTTGAAAGAAGTCTCTTATTTTCACCAAGGCTACATATGTTTGACTAAAAATACAGTAAAAACAGTTTAAAAGAGCTGTTTTAATATGTTTTCAATTGTCATTTATTCCTGTGATGTTAAAGCTGAATTTTCAGCATCATTACTCCAGTCTTCAGTGTCACATTGTCCTTCAGAAATCATTCTAACATGCTGATTTGCTGCTCAAGAAACATTTCTTATCATTGTCAATGTTCAAAACAGTTGTGCTGCTTTATTCTTGTAGAAACAGTGGCATGCCCTGATTTTGCTGAGTTAGATGTGACCCTGGAACAACATTTTCATCCAAAAATGTAGTCTTGACCATAGCCCTACACCTAAATCTAACCATAACCATGAGTAATCCCTAAAATCAGAGGAAATGATAGATGAATGACACTGATGTACAAGCACCAAACACTTATTGGAAGCCTAAACTTCACAAAAACTATAAACTGGTTCGTCAAATCTGATTGGTTAATCACAATGTTGTTCCAGGGTCAATGTTGATCCAGGAACATGTCGCACTTGGTAAAATCAGGTTCTGCGGAAACAATTTTTGGGGGGCATTCTTTGATGAATATAAAGTTCAATAGAACAGCATTTACTGTATTTGAAATAGAAATCTTTTGAAGCATTATAAAAGTTTTTACTGTCAACTTTAATGCATTCTTGCTGTTAAAAAGTATGACTTTCTAAAAAAAAAAAAATCTTGCTGACCCAAAACTTTTGAGCAGTAGTGTACTTAAAGTTAATTGAGCTTTCTTGAACTGAAAACGACCCGAAGTGGTAATTTTCATTTTGCATGACCAGTTTTCTACCTTTTACTTTACCGTAAAATGAAATGTCCTGTTGTCAATACTGTATCATTATGATTTCAAAGTAAGTGACCTCTGTTATGACTGGCTAACCTGTTTGCATATGAAATAAGTGACTATGGTTAGGTGTTGTGGGCTGCTGTTACATCTTTTAGTTTGCGCAGCACTTAAAAGTTTATACCAGCCATATTGGTGACATTATCACAGAACAAAAAGCGCCAAATTCTTAAGAAAGAAACTTTCAGAGGCTCTTTCATGTTTGTGACATCACAGCCATGAGCCGTTTTTTCAGCTTGCATGGTTTCAGTCATTTCAGGTTCCCTTAGAGGAGCACTCAGGAATGTTTTGCTTACAGGTGCATCTCAATAAATTAGAATGTCGTGGAAAAGTTCATTTATTTCAGTAATTCAACTCAAATTGTGAGACTCGTGTATTAAATAAATTCAATGCACACAGACTGAAGTAGTTTAAGTCTTTGGTTCTTTTAATTGTGATGATTTTGGCTCACATTTAACAAAAACCCACCAATTCACTATCTAAACGAATTAGAATATGGTGACATGCCAATCAGCTAATCAACTCATTGAGTTGAATTACTGAAATAAATGAACTTTTCCACGACATTCTAATTTATTGAGATGCACCTGTATGTTGCGAAGTGAGTGAAATTCAGCTGGTCATGTGATTTCCACATGACGGCCCCATGAGGCAGCCCACTCCATGTAAAATATTTTGTCTTATTTGGTCTCAGTTTAAGTTTTTCATCTAATATTTATATTTTATTTTATTTGAGCTTAAGTGAATTAACATTTTTAATAGTTTTAATTAAAGCAGCACTATGTAACTTTTGGCGCTCTAGCGGTTAATAAACAGGACTGCACACATCCCGTGGAAGAACATTCCAACCGGAGCTACTTCTCTAAGTTTATGTCTATGGCGATTCACGCAGGTATGTGTTACTCCGCAGCGGTGACGACCCGACCAGGCTACAATAGTCCAAATATAAGTACTTATTATAAGTGTACCGTAGTGATTCGGAATAAGACAAAAACGCTGTTTGGAAGATGAATTCATGATGTACTCGCTCATTATATACATTTTGCAAATTTTGAACACAGAAAAAGTTACATAGTGCTGCTTTAACAATAACAGCATTACTGAAGACTTGCATTGGAGTCTTCTTATGTGGGTGGGCATATTTATCAAAAGTACCATTCATTTGTAGTTTTGAGAATGAAGGAAAAATACTGAGTGCTTCTTTTTACCTCAAATCATATATTTCTCTAAGCCTTCTTCATTATACATGATTTAGTTTAGTTTGTGGTAGCATTTCATTGCCATGTTTCCAGTAGCTTTGTCTCTGTACTCTGGCAAAATACCAAATGTCTTTCACTTATACACACACACTTGTCAGAGACACTTTATCAGGGTCTTTACATTCTGGTTGCTGTGGTGAGGGTCTCTTTGCTGCAAACACTCTTGGCTTTTCAGCAGGAAGAGTTGAGGGAGTTTGCATTGCCTCTCTCTTAGTCATTTCTCACTTGTTGATTGCCAACTTTTTTGTATTATTTACTTCTAGGCCCATTATTGTCACTTCACTTTTTCTCTGTAATGTAGTTATTTTACTCTGAAGTCACATGAAAAGTATTAAAAATAAATTAATATAAAGAAAGCAGTGTTTTATCATATTTCAGAGAGCTGATGAAGAGAAGAGGTTTTGAAGTAGTGCTGACTAGAGCAAATCTCCATGCTGTGAAAGAATGCAGAGCAGCTATTTAACTGTGAGCATGACCTCTATCTTTTTTCAGGTCTTTTTTAAATCCAGTTAAAGCTCTGGCAGAGAATCGGGGTGAATTCACTAAATGGTTAGACCACATTTGCCCACGGTATTTCAATGCAAAACTTATTTTTTGCTTTTTACTTTTGAACTTTCTATCCATCAAAGAATGCTGAAAGAAAGTTCCACTAAAAATATTAAGCAGCACAACTGTTTTCAACATTGTTTTATGAGCAGCAAATCATAATGATTTCATCATAAATAAATTGCATTTTAAAATATTTACTTATTTGAAATAGTCATTATAAATTGTTGTAACATTTCACATATTCAAATTTTAATATTTTTGATTAAATAAATGCAGCCTTAGTGAGCAAAAGAGACTTATTTAAAAAAACATACTGTTATTCCAAATATAGTAAACGTTTGACTGTTAGCATATATTTGTGTGCATTTTCTATTGGTTATGATGGTAGTAATCCATATCTTGTTCAAGCTAATCAAAGGAGCTTTTCTTAACCACTTTACACTATACTAAGTTAGCAGGATAAGCTGTTAGGTTGCTAACTGAAGTTAGCAAGATTTGACCTGATTTGCATGAATTTGCGCTAAAACAAAATAGTGTTTGTAAGAAAGCAACGCTTTCAACAAGCACAGTTCATTAATTCTTCCCTCATCTCTCCTGTTTTCACCTCAGCCTATTGTAACACAGCACCGCACTGCACAGCCAGGCTTAACTTTGCTTTGAAAAGTCTATAAAGAGCTCAGTGTGTGCTATTGGCAATTTTGCAATCTTTGCTCTCAGTGAATAGTCTTTTTCCAAGCTTGCACAAGCCTGTGAAGGAGAGCAAGCCACTTTAATCGGGGAAACAAACATATGTTGATGATTAAGAATGAAAACATAGAATAAATTATTTTCCTATTATTGTCATTCGGTGTCCTGTTATATGTGCAGTCATTGCTGCTGACGTTTACACACAGATATTGGTGTCTTACATCACTGTGGAATGACTTCTGACCTCTCAGTGCTCTCACGTCTCGAGTATGTGAGAGTGTGCACATATATATTTATTTTGGAAGATGCCTCAGTAATGAGTTGATTTTGGTCCATGTTTTGGATGAAATATTAAAACGGTGTATGACTCAGTGCTGGGAAGTGTTAGTCTCTGGCATATATAACTTTGTGAATATGAGAACAACCTTGGGACGGCACATTATGAGTGAATTATAGTATGTGTACCTCTTAGAGACTTGACACTTCAGATTTACAGCATGCAGCAGGTGTGTTGGACAGACTGGAAAACATTTAGAAAGAACAGGAGGTGCTCATATTTTAAAATTATGTATGTGTGTGTCATAGGTGTGCTGGACGATGAAGATGTGCAGCTGATGCTGCAGGGGTCAAAGATGATGAAGGTTCGATCTCAGCGTTGGCGGAAAGACAGGAGCCTGAAGCTTCTGGAGGACTGTGTGACGGTGTGGTGTGAGTCCAGCAAAGCCTCCCGCAAAGGCAAAAGCCAGCAGACCTGTGAGTAAATCATCTGTGACTGAACTACATCCAAAAACAAATATCAAAATTCAGCTTTCAGCACAGCATTTGTGAGTTCAGAAAGTATGCGGGAAGATGAGCAAGGGTCGGTTTAGTAAGTGCTCTCAGCTGAGCTCCTGAGGGCTTTTTATCAAGACATTTAGTTTCTACATTTTGAGTTTACCTCCCTACATCTCTACAATGGGTCATTTTCTGTTTCATATGAATCACACAGAATAAAAAAATGCAGTTTGGTGTTGGGATAAAATTCAGTAAAGATGGCATTCTTCATGCTAGGTTTTGTCTAATGAATTTAATCTCACAAGAGTGCTGACAGAGAGGTTGGTCGCATTGAGTATTCCCTCAGCGACCAGCACAGATCAGCTCTAGACATGATGAAGCGGATATCGTCCTCTTTTGGAAGGCCAAACAAAGTACTTTCGCTTTCACAGCGAAACACACAGCATCTCCACAACATGGTGGCGGCAGCAACAACAATACTACAGCGAGAATAAAAGTTACGCCTTCTTTCTTTGCGTGAACATTTGGGCGGTGTTATGCAAATCTTCACACAGAGTGACGTAAACATGGTGAGGACATCATTAAAATAGTCCATGTGACATCAGTGGTTCAACTGAAATTTTGTGAAGCTACGAGAATATTTTTTGTGCACAAAGAAAACAAAAATAACAACTTTATTCAACACTTTCTTCTCTTCCGTGTCAGAATTTGACAGACATTCACAACAACAGTACCGCGATGCATGCGTGTGCGTTCCTCTACGTCAGCAGCACCACGTGCATGCGTCATGGTACTCTCGTATCATTGTTTTTGTTTTCTTTGCACACAAAAATTATTTTCGTAGCTTCATATAATTAAGGTTGAACCACTGATGTCACATGGAATGTTTTAATGATGTCCTTACTACCTTTTTGGGCCTTGAACGTGAAAGTTGCGTTGCTGTCTATGGAGGGTCTGGAGTTCTCAGATTTCATCAAATATTACTGTTTTTACTGTAATTTTGATCAGCCTTGGTGAGCATAAGAGACTTATTTCAAAAACATTTAAAAAATTTACCGACCCCAAAGTTGTGTATTTGTTTTTGTTTTTTTCTCACAGTACAGTAGATGATTTATAATGATTTTATATTTTCATGGGTGCCAGTGACACCATTACTGCATGTGAGGAAGGTGCCATGATGCCAGAACTTAACATGTGAATAAAAGGATATGATACTGGACTCAGTAGCAGTATGGAAACATATTTTTTTTACAACTAATCAGGTCAAGGAATCATACTGTCACACCCTAGAGGAAAAATAATGATCAGAAAACAATCACAGCCTGTTTCTTCTTTCTTCACCTACTCTGACTTCATAATTGGCTCGGAGTCAAAACAAGACGTTATTAATGTTTGCTATGTTTTCTTTTTGAATGCCTATTGTTAACCTCATCCCAAAGGACCCAGCAGGCATTAAATCTTATGATGTTCTGTTTTTAGTAAATGAATGCCACTGAATTTAACAGGACGGATGGATTTGGCTTAGTGTAATGAACTGTAGCAGTGACCCAATTAATCACAGGGCAAACAAGGGAAAGATTTTCAATTGATGTTATCGAAATGTCTAAATACAGCACTACTTATGATGCAGAAAGGTTATGCAATGATGATTCATTACAGGTGCCATCACAATATATTATGTGTGGGTCTTATATGTTTGGTAGACTGCATTTTAACCTTTTTAGTTTATGATTGGATAGACTAAAGGGTCAGTATTTTTTACCATTTAGATTGTATATAATAATTATTATTTTATATAATAATACAATAATTATTTTAGTCCTAGAACAGTATGATGGGGATCCAGTATCATGCTTTTTCCCCATTGTAAACCACTCACCTTTGACCATCTGTGATATATTGCTCAGCAGGTTTTTGTTGAGGGACGGGACTTTCCAATCAAGGCAACAGCAAACAGAAAACCCATAAAGTTTTGTGTGCATATGTCTGAAGTCATTAATACATGTCTGGTTGTGTGTTTGTCTATATAGACTACAAGTTCAGACCCTCAGCTTCCCTCCAGTTTAATTTCCTACTTTGTTTGGCTTGTTTCACAACATCAAACAAAGCCAGGAAATTAAACTAGAAATATTTTCATTAAAAACCATGATTATGATCCTGAACTGTCTGAAACTCTATGATGTATGATGTACTTTATGATCCTGAACTTTAAATGATTTCAGACCAGCAGATTTGGTGCTTACTTTGAATAGAGGTGTTAATTGTCTCAATCTGTTACTTTCACCTGCTTTTCAGGTGATTGATGATCTTCTTTTAATCACATAAATTCAACCTTTGCTCCTAGCATAATGGAAACATACCACAGATTCATCTGTGACAAGAGACATCATGGGAAATGAGCTGCTCTATCATCTCTAATCTCTAGCTGTTCAGATGATTGTTAATCTGTTTTTAATCTCATTTATGCTCTTCAGATGGATTGATAATCCGCTGTGAGAGTGAAGAGAATCAGACTTCCTGCTATAATCCCATTCATGGCGCTTCACTGGAGCATGGGAACATTGTTTCTCTTATTAGACCACTGGCGTTAGGGAGCCTTTTTTCATTTATCTCCACTCTCTGAAATATCTGTGATTACCTCCGCTGTCATCACCCTCAAAAATCTGTGATTATGTGATCTCTCTTCACATTTGCTGCATAACATTAGCTGCATAGAGATATCTGAGGCTACTCAACTTGAAATGCAACAAATTATTTGATTAAAAAAAGTCAGTTAAGCAAAATTCGAACTTGTGACCGCTTGCTCTTAAAGCAGGAAAAGTTTGGCCCACAAGACAAGGAGTTTAACAATCTTAAGACTTGAATCCTAAAATCACTCCCGAATCAGACTCATTCTTACAAATGGACTGTGAACAACAACTGTGTCCTTTGTATAATAATACAGACTTGTGAATTGATGCATGTTTCTATTTATCTATTGTAGTCATATGTTTCTGGATTTTGAAACATGCAAAGTTTCAATATCAACACATGCAGCTGTACAGTAAAAAGCCCAGGTCATGTGTTTATGAATATTCCCTGCTCTTAGGGAGGATTTATGGGTCATTCTGATAACCTCTGCTGAGACCCTGAGGACTAAAGTGAACTTATAACTAATCATGTGTCTCAGTGTGATTAATAATCACACGGTAGTGCTAGTAATCACTTTTGTGATTTTTCTATGTAAGATGTTGATTATGTAATATCATTATGTAATAATTTGTGTTTTCGTTGTAATTGGAACACATTGGTGCTTTGTAGTTTCTTTGACTCTCTCCAAAATGCAGCTTTTGTAGTGTATACATAAATCTTGATGCACCCTAGACAACATCAAAAGACCGCCCACTCACCTGTCAATCATCACCTTTAGTAAAGCAATAGTTTAAACATAGGAATTTATGCAAGTTCTTTGATATGCCAGACGCCAACATGTAGTGAGTAGTGACACAGATCATGTGAAGCATATGAAGTTCAGTTTATACAGGCTCTCGACTGAAATATCAGTGAGTGTTCCACTTGAAACCTTACTTTTGTTCTGTTCATTTGAAAGCATATTTGGAAACAACAGTAAAATTTAACAATATACAGTATTGCTATAATTGCTTCACTCTTGTCTTGGCAAACATTGTTTGTTCGGTACCCTCTCTGTTAGACTAGCTGCGACAATATTTGGGGGAATATTGTTAGATAAGTGATTTGAAAGTCATATACATTTACTAGTATGTGTGTTCACATGGTAGCAAATCATTATTCAAAATAAAAAGTATTTGTAGGTGAGTATAAGAGACTTATTTCAAAAACATTGACAGTCTTACTGACCCCAAACTATTGAATGGTAGAGTAGCATGAAACTCACTCGAAAATGCTCATAAACCAAACACTTTTGTTTGTACTGCTCGACTCAGAGAGCTGCAGTAGATGAGACAGCCTCTCTCTCTGTTTCTGTCTTGTGTTGCGTCACACTGGCTTCAGGAATGCAGGCTCAGCTGCTCCTGTCCAATCCCAGCATGCCCCTCACAGCTCACGGACTGCCACACACTTGAGGGAATAAACATAGTCCAAATAATACACGACTGTGCGTGTGTTTGCATTATGTGAATAAGTGTTTGTGCGTGTGACGTTGCATCATGCATCACTTCATCCCTTTGTTATTTTGACTATTTATTAATGTAGATAAAGATAGAAGACACATGGTTATGGCATAAGTGTCAAATAGCCTGCACTAAATGATGCCGGTCTGCTTAGGAAATGAGTCTGTGCAGGTGTCTTTGTGCTGGTAGGCAGGAGCTCCGTATGCAGGGCTGGATCTCTGGAGAGTTCATGCTCCTGTGCATCTATGCAGCGGGCATTAGTGAGGAATGCCAGTGGCGTAATAAATGCCCATTCACTGCACATGTGCTCTGTTAAAATTAACACTCTTCTTCTCCATATACACAAGAATTATGAATGCATGTTTGTCAGTGTTTGGAAGTTGGCAGAGAGTCTTTGCCATTTAAAAGAGCATGTGTTTGTGTCTCTGCATGTCTCTTTGTTTATTTGCAGCGTAGGAGTTTCCACAGGTCAAAGACGTTATTGTTGCAACTACTGTCTACAATTCCTCATTATAGCTGACTTGAAGTGTACGCTTACTGTAAAATGATGGAGGAGAAGGAAAGTCCATGTAATACACAGAGCTATATTATATTTGATTGTCACTGTATTAGCAATAGCATTTCGTAATTGGTCAAATGATTGCCTGTCCAAAGCCTCTGCTTGGCTATCAGGTGGGTTCATATGGGTGTGCGGGTGTGTATTTTAGGAGTACATTGTGAACATTTTTGGCACTGTGTTGCACAGGTCATATTTTACAAGAGCCAAATTAATCCTCACACACATGTCCGTCGTCACACACTGTGATGACACATTTGACCTCCTTCTTACTTTTTTTCCTGTAAGTGTCCTTGTTGCTTGTTTATCATTCATTTACGTGTTAATCATCAGAATTTAAAGCATTTAGTTTGGTTCATTTTCATTTTGTTTAAATGATTGTTTAGTTTAATTGTTTTGAAGTCTTATTTTAAATGACACAGCTAAGACTTGCTTTTAGTTTAGTTTTATTTTTTATTTTGTTTAGATAAATATATATTGTTTTCGTTTATTCAAGTAGTTTATCTTAGCTTAGTTTATATCCTTTGAAGTGTTCTTTGGAATGATACAGCTAAGAGTTGCTTTTAGTTTATTTATTTTTGCTTTTATTTATTTTTGTTTAATTTTGTTTAGATTAATATATTTACTTTTAGTATTACAATATTACTTTTAATTCTGCTAGTTTAATTTAGTGTTTTAAGTTGCTTTTAATTTAATTTATTTTTTATTTTATTTTAGGTTTTATTTTTGGGGTTTTAGTTTTGTGTTCATTCAGTTAGTTTAGATTGATTTAAATCTTTTGATGTCTTTTGAACAACATACTGTAATTATTAAGATGTTCTTTTAATTTGTTTTTGTGTACACTTTTTTTCTCAGTTTCTAGCTTATTTTCTTTTAATGTTTTCTTTTTTGTGTGTCTTAGTTTTGTATCATTTAATACAGGTTGATAGCTTCAGTGTTTCAGAGGTTGCCAAATGTTGGACATTTACTCATAAGTTGACATATATAATGGAGACACTTTAATATTAGGGTTTGTTTAAAGCAGAAGTTTCATGTTGAAATTTTGTTTGTTTGAGTGGCCAGACTGGTGTTTAAAACTATTTCTTTTTTGCAGTTCTATTTGGTGCCACTATTTGTGCATAGATTACACAATTCACCTTTAAGTAACAGATTATGTAAATTATTATTAGTGGTGATGATCCAGTCACCTGTTTGTGTGTGTGGGTTCTTTCTGTCAGTCTGTGTGACGGAGGTGGAGTGTGTGCGGGAGGGCTGTCAGTCGGAGTGTCTGCGACGAATGGCAGGTCTGGTTCCAGAGACCCACTGCTTCACTGTGGTCTTCCGCGGAGGAAGGAAAAGCCTGGATCTGTGCTGCTCTACACAGGACGAAGCAGAGCGCTGGGTTCGAGGCCTCCGCACACTCAAAGACCGTGTTTCCAACATGAGCCAGAAAGAAAAGCTGGACCAATATCCTTAAAGCCATACCTGCAGAGAGAAAATGCTAGTAATTTCCTAACTGCAAATAGACACACATCCACTGCACATTTACAGCATTTAATACACATTTAATTATAGGATTTAAACAGAAGGCTTAGGTTTCACTTCCTTGGCCAGCATATGCCAATAAATGCACATGTAAACACACTCTCCATTACTGCACATCATTACTCAGTGAGAGAGCTGACTAAATATAGAGCAGCTCTAGAACAGATATCTAAACGCCACTCCACCACACATGTGAACCACGGAACGTATCATGTTATCTCTCCTTGTTCAAAAATACCTTTGTCCTGTTTCTCTTTCCTCTAATGTGGTTTTCACTCTATTGTACTTTCTTTTTTAACCTGTAACCCATTTGTTGTACTCATATTTCTAATATTTTTTGTTTCATGTGTTATGTTAATTTTCAACTACATGCAGCTTCTAATTTTAATTGAATGTTAAAATGTGTTAGTTTTTATTTGATCTCAGCTTAAAGAAATACAGTAGTTCACCCAAAAATGAAAATTCTGTCATTAATTACTCACCCTCATGTCGTTCCGAACGCATAAGACCTTCGTTCATCTTCAGAGCACAAATTAAGATATTTTTGATTAAATCCGAGAGCTTTCTGACCCTGCATAGACAGCAATGTAACTGACATGCCAGTGTATACATCCAAGGGAGTAGACAACAACATGCACAATATTTATATTCTTACTTGCATAAACAAGACTTCCCAGAATGCAACTTACTTGCATTCCACTTTTTCTTCTTAAACATTATTTTTTATTTCTCTTGCAATACTGAATCAGAAATATATTCTTATGTATATGGTATACCTATGTATACTTGCTTATGTATTATGAAATACATAAAAATAATTCTTCCAATGTTTTGATAGAAGTCTCCACCAATGCTTACCAAGGCTGCATTTGTTTGATCCAAAATGCAGTAAAACGGGAATATTGTGAAATATTATTACAATTTAAAATTAAAGAAATACAGTAGTTCACCCAAAAATGAAAATTCTGTCATTAATTACTCACCCTCATGTCGTTCCGAACCCATAAGACCTTCGTTCATCTTCAGAGCACAAATTAAGATATTTTTGATTAAATCCGAGAGCTTTCTGACCCTGCATAGACAGCAATGTAACTGACATGCTCAAGGCCCAGAAAGGTAGTAAGGACATTATTAAAATAGTCCATGTGACATCAGTGGTTCAACCATAATTTTATGTAGCTACGAGAATACTTTTTGCATGCAAAGACTGTATTACGTTATATTTTTAATTATAATAATGGCAGAGAGATTGTTTATTGTTTCATATTATATGGCTGGCAGCATGTTGTGTATGCGTATTATTGGTTTGTCTAGTTTTCCCTAACTGTGCATACTTGGATTCGAGGCTATCTGAGACGTGCAGATCAGAACCAGGATGGGAAGATGAGCTACGAGGAGGTGAAACATCTACTACAGCTGATCAACATTGACCTGAATGAACAGTATGCACGCACACTCTTTAAGGTTCGTGTGAGAGATCAATGTGCAAGTGGCAACAGCTGTCATATAAACTAAAAGCATTTAATTTAAATGAAGCCTCAAGCAATCTCTCTCTCTTTTATTCCTCCTCTTGTTTGTAGAAGTGTGATCGCTCGTGTGATGGCCGGCTGGATCACGTGGAGATAGAGGAGTTCTGCCGTGAGCTGATGCGCAGGCCGGAGCTGGACGCAGTGTTCAGGCATTATTCTGGTAACGGGTGTGTGCTCACCACCTTGGAGCTGAGGGATTTCCTCGGGGATCAGGGCGAAGACGCATCACTGGCCCATGCAAAGACTCTCATCCACACCTATGAGCTCAACGACTGGGGTACACAGCCATCAGCAGCATACATTAACATGGAGATATATGCATAAACAAGACTTCCCAGAATGCAACTTACTTGCATTCCACTTTTTCTTCTTAAACATTATTTTTTATTTCTCTTGCAATACTGAATCAGAAATATATTCTTATGTATATGGTATACCTATGTATACTTGCTTATGTATTATGAAATACATAAAAATAATTCTTCCAATGTTTTGATAGAAGTCTCCACCAATGCTTACCAAGGCTGCATTTGTTTGATCCAAAATGCAGTAAAACGGGAATATTGTGAAATATTATTACAATTTAAAATAACTGTTTTCTTTTTTAATCAATTTTAAAATGTTATTTATTCATGTGATTTCAAAGCTGAATTTTCAGCAGCCATTACTCCAGTCTTCAGTCACACGATGCTTCCTGTCTTTACTGTCACTTTTGATGTTTTAATGTAACCTTGCTAAATAAAATTATTTCTTTCAAAAAATAAAAAACAATAAAACAAAATAAAAGTCTAAATTTTCACTGCTGAAAATAATTTTGGCCATAACATTTTTATGGGGATGAAACTATCAGCAGTGCAAGATAAAAAAACAATCTTATTTTTGAGCCCTGTACTGTGATTTGAGAAACGAACAACAACTGTTAGCGTCGCAACAAAATAAGCTATTTGTCAGAGCTGTTGTCTACCAGTCAGCCCATGGCACTCTTGTGGGCAGTGTCAGTTCAGATCTAGCTCACATTTCCCTTGCTGTTCTCCCATCATTTCCTGTCTGCACTCTACTGTTTATATACTGTCAGTAAAAATGGCACAAAGGCCAACTCAAAACTGGTTTTAGTTTGTCATTGTGTGATCTAATGACGTAAAATATCCAACCTGTTGAAAACTGGAGTGCAGGTCCAACAGTAAACTGGAAAGACCACACCTCTCTACTTCCACGAACTAGTGTGAGTGCATAGCTCAGTAGTGTGTCACTGGTTATTGTGTCAAATAACTGACAAACCTTGGTTATTCTTTTCTGCTCTTACTAGAACTGAGAGTAATACATTAGTGATACAAAAATAGGATAAAAAGTCTGTATTAAACATGTCCTTATCTAGCTCTACTGAAGATTGTGTTTAACCATGTTAACTTTTGACCGATATATTTTCTTTATGACCCTCAGCCCGGAAGAATCTGTTCATGACCCAGAATGGTTTCACCATGCACATGCTCTCGAAAGAGAATGATGTGTTTAACCCGGATCACGCTCACGTGTATCAGGACATGAGCCGACCGCTGGCGCACTACTACATCTCTTCTTCTCATAATACATACCTCACCAAAGACCAGGTGACCAGCGCCAGCAGCACCGAGCCTTATATCAGGTACAACACCCACCCAACTGCACCGTATAATCTGCCTCCAGCACCACAGAGGTACTGCTAGTAGACCAAAACACACTTATACTTTGCTCGGTAAAATCCCAGTGATTACTTGTGTCTGCATTACCGCCTTAGCTTATTTAGGAACCATTTGTGTTCTGTAACACTATTGCACTGGGAGAAAGAATTATCCCTAAGGTCACAGTAACAGGAAACACTTTTAAACTGACCTTAGTTGACTTTTGGTAAGATTTTAAAATGTTATTGAAAGAAGTCTCTCTTGCTCGTTATGGGCAAGGTTTACTAAACAGGGTAAATTAGTGTTAGAGCGCAATTCCATAAAAGTGCCAATGGGAGGGGAAAATTCTTCGTGTGTTTTACTGACAAGGAGCATATTAAAGAACACAGATGCAACATCTCATTTCCATAATGACCAGCGCAATCTACCAAGAGCAGCGCAAATTACCACCTTCTTTAAAAACATGCTTTTTGGGCGTTACATAATGGACGCAAATACCAGTAATTTAACGAGCGCAAACGTTAGTAAATCGCATTGCATGATTCATTTTAATACTCTCCTCCCATAAATTTTGCGTCTGAAAGGGAAACTCCTACAAATGCATATTCAATAAGTCAGGCACAAAAATAACTGTCCATGCCTTTTCAGCGCTAATTCTTTACTGTGTGTCTTTAGTAAATCTTGACAGTACTATTTTAACGCCAAAAAACAGTTTGCGCTGGCGCAAGCTGTTAATAAATCTGGCCGTATGACTGCATTTATTTCACCAAACACACAGTAAAAATAATAATATTGTGAAATTGTTTTCTATTTTATATATATATTTAAAGAGTCCCGTGATAGTAATTACTCCAGTCTTCAGTGTCACGTGATCTTTCAAAAATCATTCTAATATGCTGATTTGCTGCTCAAGAAACATTTCTGATTATTAACAATGTTGAAAACAATTGTGCTGCTTGGGGATTTAAATGGGATTTAATCCCATTGGATTAAAATGGGATTACATTTTGTACAGTAGAGCTATGAGCCGTTAATATGTTTAAGTGCACACACAATGGACCAGCAATACAGTATGTAGAACTTTATGTATGACAGGTTATCCAATTCTGTGGAAATCTGTAAGGCTCATTTTCCATCCAGGCCTTTACCTCATGAAATATTTGATCACCAGCGGCAGCTGCACAAAACATTGCCACTGTGTTATGAGATACAACACACAACGCTAATTCACATGCTCTGATGATATTTATTGTTCATACTCGTTGTTTGTGGTTAAACTCATGGGTTTTGTGTTTGTGTTTAGAGCTCTGCATCAGGGCTGTCGCTGTGTTGAGCTGGACTGCTGGGATGGTGATAAAGGAGAGCCCATGATCTACCACGGACACACGCTCACCTCCAAAGTGCTCTTTAAAGAAGTCATTGAGACCATCGCTCAGTACGCCTTCAAGGTGCAGACACATGAACCATAACAGCCTATGATGAAAATCTTTGGGTTTGCATGTTTGATAGTTGACATTTAAATAATTGATTCTCTTGAATAACCATGTCTCTCTCTCTCCATAGACATCTCCGTATCCTCTGATCTTGTCCCTGGAGAATCACTGCTCGGTGGAGCAGCAGGCGGTCATGGCGCAGCATCTTCGCTCTATTCTGGGAAAGAAGCTCCTGAGAAAGCCACTCAATGACCTGCCCCTCAAAGACCTACCCTCACCTGAGGTCACACACACCTCCAGTTTTGCTCTTCCTTAACTTAACAATTTATCAAATTTCCAGATGTTACCATTTTTCTCTGTCGCTTTGCTGCATTTCTCGAATCATCCTTAATATTTGCAAAGAAGTATGTGCATTTCTCAAAACGATTCGTACAAACAGCTCCACACAATGGATTACCTTCAAAAGCCGGTAACTTACTCAAAATCTTTAGTTCATCTGTCAAAAGTAAGTATTTATGTCAATGAACATATCATCAGTGCCATCAGAATGAAAAGTCCTTGTGCCATTGTTCACAAACAAGACAGTCAAAATGCTTAGTCATGTTGTCAATATAACAGAGCTCTCTGTTAGTATTACCTGATGTAAACTATGGCAACAGTTTGGATGGCAGTTACTGTAGTGAAGTGCAGGAGGCTGCACTTCTTATGTATGCCATATATCCATTTCAAAAGTACAAATTTACACATTACTGTATGGGATATTGATTGAAAGAGACTGTTTCGAAACGTTGGAATTATTGAGGATATAATCGATCTCCCAATATTTGACTGCACCCTTCGACCCGCCTCAGTCATTGTAAGGCCTTGAGTGACAACATGGTCCACATAGTGGCCCTTATTTCATCTGATTTGCACCTCTGTCCTTGGCCTCTTCTGCCTCTTCCTCTGTTTTGCCTCTGTACCTTTCCAGCATGCATCATTACTCCTCTTCTTCCTCTTTGCTGTTGACCCTGATGGTTTCCTGGATGTTCATCCATTGTCAGAATTTGTAACTCTTGTGTTGTGCTCTGTCGATATATGCTTTCCAATCGAAGGTTCATGAGATGCACCTTTGATCTATTTCAGAGAGCTGGCTTATCATTGATTGATCTACATCAGTGGTCGCCAACCCGTCGATCGCGATCGACTGGTAGATCTTTATCACTGTCTCAGTAGATCCCGAAAAAAAAACAGTAAAATAAGTACAAAAATGCATTACATTTATGGGGTTATATTAATGTATCACTGAAGGGTACTGTCTTGAGAGAAGTTTCGATGGCAATGGCATTTTCTTCTCCGTATAAAGCGCGGCTCTGCTTTGTTTACAGCGGTAACCAAGGAAACAGTGCGGTCCGTTCATAAGCAGTGTTGCCAAGTCCGCGATTTTCCCGCGGAATTGTGCTACTTAACACTGTTGCCGCGGGTTGTTGTTCATGTCCGCGGGTTGAAGCGACCCCAATAACGTGATATTTAGTCCC